CCCCTAACGCTCGTGTACATGGCCCGCGGTCTATAATACAGCTCCTTCATCACTGGATTTTCCAAGTTTTTCTTCTCTCCCTTTTTCAAAATTATTCACCATTTATATATATATATATATATTACTTTCAAGTCTTCCCCACTAACCCAACTACTTTGACTTTTTAGTGCCTCATCAATACTTTATTCCACACACACACACACACACAAGAAGGAATATTCTGGTGTGATTAGATGGGGTGTTTGGAGAAATGGTGGAGATGAATTAATTAAGTGGATTTTGACTAATAAAATAGATAATGGAATCCAGAATTTTGTACAGTGCACCATGTCCTCATATGCTAAGTGCTCTACAACCTTCACCGCATCCAATCATTCAATTCTTGTAATATTGTTATTCATATATAATAAATAGAATATTATGATTATTGCATTTTTTTATTTTTTTGATAAAATAAGATACTAATAAATGATACTATCAGTTCCGATGCTCTGTTTCATAAAAATATACTACTACTTTATTTCATTAATGCATGATTTGATTATTACATACATGATATGTATTACACTATTACTAATAAAATACAAGATATAATATTATATTTAATTTTGAAAGAAAATCTGAAATAACCTAACCAGTCGCATATTAATTGTATCTGTACATAAATACAAGATATATTATTTAATTTTGGAAGGTTAAAACATTCAGAGAAGGCGTATTGGAAATTGTAGAAATTATTTAATTATCTACTATTTTTGGGAGATTATAATTTATCACCCCAAGAAAAAACACTGAAATTTATGTCAAAGTATTTTTTTCTCTTAGATATAAAAATACCGTTATAGTTAGGTAGTGAGATGATGTATGATCTTAATGAATTCGTTAAATCCAACATCAGATGAGAACAAATTGCGATGGAACATTCTAATTCATCGTATTTAAAAAAACTTAGGAAAAGTATGGAAACATGTCAGACCATCATCATTAATTAATTACATTTTAGGAAGATTTCAACCGGAAATCAAGGGAAAAACAGCAACCGTGTCTCCTACCTGGTATAAATATTTAATTTATTTGTTTTTATTATGGGGAAATATGCAATACCCCCCTTAAATAGAAAATATTTTGAACTAAACCCAATTGACTTTAATGACTTTTGCATACACCCAAATTCCAGTTTTAATTTGTGAAACCCCCCTAGACTTATGTGACAAGACAAATATACCCCCAACCCTATAACCTTAAATCTTAATTTTTTTCTTCCGCTATTAGTCGTCACTCTCGGTTTTTCAACCGATCTTTTTTCTCTCTTCATTGTTCTTCTTCTTCAAACCCTAGATCTACTCTTTCCATCACTACAAAATCGAAGAGGCAACAGAAAATCACCGGTGGCCGGAGTCGACAAACAGAGGCGGTAAAGGACTAGCGGCTAGACACCGACGGAGTTCTGAAAATTACCGTACGCCGCCCAATTTCTCACCACACCCGCCGCTCTCCGCCAAATCACCGCCGCCGCCCTTCACCAGAACCGCCGTCGCGCTACTCCGAAGTGTCATTCGAACGATGCATCCCTTCTCCCTCCGCTGCTTGCCGAGATCTATAATATTAATCGGTAAAATTTATTTTTTATTTTTTCTCGAATTAATGAACCGTAAAGCTCGTTCTGGGTTTGAATTTTTCGATTTTATCATTTTTTTGTCATGAATGCATAGATTTCAATTATCTTGCATTTTATTAATTTTCTGAGTTTTTCTTAGTCTCACTCGAACTATGCATCCATTCTCCCTACGCTGCTTGCTGAGATATACAATATTAATCGGCAGAATTTACTTTTTATTTTTTCTCCAATTTATTAACCGTAAAGCTCGTTCTGGGTTTGAATTTTTCGATTTTATCATTTGTTTGTCATGAATGCATAGATTTCAATTATCTTGCATTTAATTAATTTTCAGAGTTTTTGTTATTTCGGATCCTAGAGCATGTTTGTATACACTGACACTTGTGGATTGGCATGATAAGAGTTGTGATTTTTATTTTTTTCGTTATGTTGTTCAAGTTCGTTTATTTATCTAAGAATCTTTGAGCGTGGATACCATTTGTCGTCGCTGCCTCCTTTGTTTCCACATAAGGTTATTTCTATCTTTTTGATTATTTCTCTCGATTTCTTAGTTTTTTTTTTTTGCCAGATTTGTTCACCACTGTCGTCACCGCCTCTCTTACTGTCTCTTTCGTTCACCGCCGCAACGGTCGTTGTCATCGACTTGCCCTCCCTCTGTTTCGTTATTTTCTATCTTTATTTATGTATTTTTTGAAAAATACAATTTCTGATTTGAACAGCAGTAATATGACTATAGTCATATTCTAGTCATATTCTAGTCATATTCTAATTTGAACAGCAGTAATATAGTCATATTGTAGTCATATTCTAATATGACTATCGATGAATATGACTGTAGTCATATTAGAATATGACTATTGTTGAATATGACTGTAGTCATATTCGAAATATATTTTTTCTTATCGTTTCAAGTTGACTTGTAATAACAAGATTCAAAATAATGATTTTTTTGTGTGGATGTTGATTGGATTGTTTTCGTAAACATTAGGTCATATTCGTTGTTTTATATTATTTAGTAAACATGACTGTTCCACACTATATAATTGGATTTTTTAAGTTGAAAATGTAAAAAAATAATATAAAAAAGAATATGACTATAGTTGATATAGTCACATATAGTCATATTCAACTATAGTCATATTCGGGTAGTTAATCAGTCGAATTTTTTTTTTAATTTTATTTGTTTAAAAAAAATAAAAAAAATATTTTTATTAAAAAATATGTTTATTAAAAAAATATTAAAAAATAAATAAAAAATACCAAATAAAGTTCGAAAATAATAAAAATAAAAAATATATTTTTTTTATATTTGGTAGCAGTTTTTTAGCATTTAAACGTGTGTGAGAGAAAGAGAGAAGAGAGAAAAAAGGAATAATTGAGGCAACATATTATAATTGACATAAGGGTAAAATTGGAAATAAAAGTTCTAGGGGGTTATCACAAAGAAAGATTTAATGGGTGGACATATCACAATTTCTTAGCGATATGAGGGGTTTATTGCTAATGACCCCTTTTATTATTATGTCAAATACGCATATAAATTTAAGGCTTAATTCCACTTTGCACCCTTGAAATATACCATTTTGGCACTTTGCACCCTCGAAACAAATTAATAGCACTTTGCACCCTCGAAATACAATAAATCATGCATAATGCACCCCAAATGAATTTTTAAAGCTAAAAAATGTAATTTAATATTTTTAGTGGTATTTTTTTTAGGATGCCAAATCTCAAATATTTTTTTTATTCATCAATCATTTTGAAACTATAAAGTTCAAAAATAAAAATAAATTTTATATATATATATATTAATTTTTTTTATAACAAAAATCAAATATTTTACGAAAAAAAAATCATTCAACTATTTCGTTATCAAGTTATCTGAAAATCATATTTTCTTCCAAGTATTTTCACCTAATATTTTCAAACAGTTACATAAAAGCTCCATCAATCGAATAATTTAGTGATAAAAGCTTATTTTTTATTTTTTATTTTGTAAGAAAATGTAGGCTTTTTAAATAATCCGTGTAGTTTTTATTTTTTCGCACTTTGTCCGCTCGAAATTAGGTTGGGGGTTCAAGAAAATAACAATTTATTTTTTTTATTTTGCACCCCGAAAAAAAAACACCAATGAAAAATAAAATTGCCTTTATTATTCAATTCAGGGTGCATTGTGAATGATTTATTGTGTTTCGAGGGTGCAAAGTGCTATTAATTTGTTTCGAGGGTGCAAAGTGCCAAAATGGCATATTTCAAGGGTGCAAAGTGGAATTAAGCCTAAATTTAATGATGAGTTGAGGTATTTTATTTTTTCATTAATATATTATATAAAATTAATTAAATTTAAATAAAAACATGTCTTTGACCTTTTATAGCTTATAGTTGCATTAGATTAATTAAATTTGTTTATCATAAAGCGTAAGAGCTGAACACACATAAATTAAGTTGGTTGATTTGGCTGAAACCTTTTCGACGCATAAGTTAGTTGATATGTTTGAGGAATTCAAACAATCTCAGCGAGTCGAACGGATATTGTAACGTACTCCCTCAGTTCCACAATAACTGTCTCTTGTTAAAAATATTTTTATTCCATATTATCTGTCACTTTAGATTTCCAATACTGCATTAAATGCATTTTTCTGTTTTAACCTTATTAATGAAAATCTAATTATTAATATTCTCTTATAAATCATTAAATAATAAAAATGAAAAGAGACAGTTATTTCGGAAAGGGTGGAGTACATTGTAAATTAATATAATTTTTATTACATAAAAATTGAGCTAATAACTCTAAAGTAATCAATTTGGCCCATTAATCTAATTCGTTGTATATGAGTTATATTGCGGGCCAATTAATATGGGGCAATGGTGGTATATCAAGTAAAAAAAATAATAATTTAAATAATATTGTTTCACGTGGAGCAAGAGAGTATATATTCTTATATAATTTTTGAAAACTAATAATTATTTAGTTATGTTTTTAAACCCAATAATTTCTCTATATATATAATAGAAAAAAAGCAAAAAATAAACCTTTAATATTAGTAGCCATAAGCCATATGATTGGTCGTTGCATCTGAGGCGACAGATTTTCTCACAGGGATTTTATTATTAATAATGTATAGAAAATTAAGTAGTGCAAATAAATATTAGAATTAAGTGAAATAATAATTAATTAATTAATTAAATGAAAGAAAGAAAAAGAAAAATGTGAGACAAGTAACATTGAAAAGGATGGGAAGGGCAGAGATTCCACTTACTCGATGAGGGAAAAGGATGGGGGCCATTCCCCCCCTCCACACTTTGTTATCTTCACCCATTTTTTCTCTGCCACTCCTCTATGCCCCCCCCCCCCAAATAAATAAATAAATAAAAAAGGAATTATATATTGTGTTAAATAAATAATATAAGAAACTATTAAGAACACAATCCACTATCAGTAGAACCATCACTATCCAGTATCCACACCAATTAAAAAAAGAAAAAAAAGAAAAAGTTTATTCACTTCATTTTGCTTACGTCACATTCCTCAGACTTCGTCCCTACATTCATGCACTAAATCATATTGTGTGTGTATACAATTATACAACAACCCTATTCTCTCTTTCTCTCTCTAGCATCTCTATGTGTGTGTGTGTGGCAACAGTGTGTGTGAGAGAGAGAGAGAGAGAGAGAGAGAGGAAGGGGCCCGCGGGGGGCTGCCATCCATATATAGGAGAAGAAGCCAAGGAGCTAGGGGTAATAATAGAGGCTTTCACATATATATAATAAAAAAAAAAATCAAGAAATTAATAGAATAGAATAGAATCCTGTTCTTTTTATTATATATATATATTGAATGAATTTTCAATAAATAGTGTACGTACTGTAAAATGAAAAAGAAAAAAGAAACAAGTACATATGGTCGTAAAATGATGAATGGTCAAAAAGGCTGTCAAAAATTTCCTTGTTTTGTCAGCCTCTGCTCTATATATGAAATCACTCTCACCATATTTAGCTTTCCTTCCTCATCACACACACACACACACACACATATATGTATATACATATATTATACTCATGATCATATATAATTCATAAGACAAAGAATTCTTCTCTTTTTTTTTTTTAATATATATATTTTAAATGAAGTAACATCACATTCTGGTTGATGACATATAACACACATACACACACGTATGTGCGTGTATGTATATATATATATACACGATGATCAGCTGTTATTTTCAGGCAGCAGTAGTATGTGGGAAAAAAACAGTAATAAAAAAGACAGAGGGAAAGAGGATAAGTACAGGAAGGAGTTGGACGAGTCGTTATTGATAATAAAACTGTGATGATGATGATGTGTAATAATATAAAATAAAATTGTACACACGATGGGTCAGTGTGATTGAGAGTGATGTATAAACTGTTAATTTTTAGTACTGATCATGACTACTTTTATTTATTTATTTATTTATCCTTCAACATCTTCTCTAGTACTTCATTTTATTTTTTATTTTTTTATTTGTTAATTTTGCAATATATATATATATATATATATATATATAAAAATATTGATGATGAGTTAGGTGGCAAGATTGGAAGTTGGATTGGTCAACAAAAGAAACATATTTCAGTGAGAGAAAGAAGCAATGATCGATCACGTGATTTTTTTTTTATTTTGTTGCTCAATCTTTTTGATCTAGTAGTAGCCATTCATCAATGCTAGATAGAAACTAGTGTTTATAATGCATTTGGATTAGCTATACTAGAGTGTACACTCACTTTCAGATTCACTTGTTAAGGCAATTTGTGTTAGTGTTTAATTTTATTTATTTTTTTGGACAAATTGCAAGGAAGTCCATGATGCAAGACCTAATTATAAGTACATCCCTGAGATAAAACCTAATTACAAAAACACTCTTCTTGTTTACGAGCACTCGCTCGAAACTCTAACAGAATGTACTAACTGTCTAAAATATCCATCATGTGTTCAAATAATTAAATGAAAGAGAAAAAAAAGGGTCATAACTTCAAAGTTCTGATTTTTATTTTTTTACATTTAACCCCTCAAGCAATGTAAAAGATTACACATAAACCCTTCCGACACAAAAATGACTAGTCGATAGTGAAAGAAATTTTTTTAAAGAATTGTTAAAGAGAATTACAATTGTTATCTAAACCTTACAATTGGACCCCTAAGGGTATTATGGTCAT